CCCGGCAGGGTGAGGGGCGGCCGCGGATAGACGGAGAAAACGCGAAGACCCGCTCTTCGTTTTGTGTCTGTAGTTGTGTAGGAAGCGGGGCCGCGGTGGGGTGGGGGTGGTCAGATGAAATGTCGTCGTTGCCGGTACCCGGCCCCAAAGAACTTGCGTCAGAACCGTCGGAGCGGTCGGAAAGGAGCCGGTGCGACGCGGGTGGTTCATCTGCTGACCACAAACGTGGGACAGCTTTGAGAGCTTTTTTTGGTTGAAAGCGAAATGCTGGAAACGCACATCTTAAACACGTTTTAAATTAATTATCTTGCCAGTTAAGTCTGAACTCTGGTGTATCTTAATCTGCTGAAGGAGTGTTTGGTCCCGTTCATCGTACGGATTAAACTGTTTTTACCGCTGTTGAAAGAGCTGAGCTGCAGTCACCACTGGGTGATTTTTGCATCATGAAAAGCATATTAGTACAGTGGAAATGCTACTGCGCACGTGAGCATGCTTTACGGGCTTAGCCGTCCTGCCGTCTTAGTCGGTAACTGCAGTTGCATTAAATGAAGTTGAAAAGCTGAAGGTTTTTTTTTTTTTTTAATTTTCAGTTGTGCTGCTTTGTGTTGGATTGTGGTAAACAACTCTGATTTAAGATTTTCCTATAAGCAGGAAGAGAGAGCTAAAATCAAAAGAAAATGTTGCTAGTTGGGCTTGTTCCTGAAAGGAGATACAGTCCGCGCTGAAGTAACAGAAATAGCAGAAGAAACATGTTGTTGAAAACTAAAGTTTTAAAGTCAATTCAAATAGCTGTCAGTAATAAATATTGCCGCAGGTATTGGTTTAAAGTGTTTCTTCTTAGGGAAATAAATAGCAATTAGCAGTGTTTATGGTTAAAGTACAGACTCAAAAACACCCCTCATGTTGTTCTTCCCCCTTTATGTACTTGGAAAGACGGTTTAAGAGATTATTTGAGTTGCTTGGAGTAGTTCGAGAGCTCTCGCTTCGCATTTGCGATCTCTAGTTTATCAGTGTGAGACTGTGTGGTTGTACTTCTCTGAAAGTTTGTTTTGGCACTTATTTGAACTAATGTACTCTTATTTTTAATGTTTTTCCACATTAATTCTGAGATGTACAAACAACTGTTGCCTTCATGGTACAACACAATAAGAATACTGTTTTCAAATCTATGGGTTTCGGTCAGCGAATGCCTAGAAATGCTGAACAATCATTAACTGTATTGTGTTCTTTCTCATTTATCCCGTTTCCCTTGATTTGTGCAGATAAGATACTCGTTGTCTTATGAACATACAGTAAGTAATTCACAGTCCCTGGTCAGGGAATCTTACTGGTCAGCATTAACATGGTTTTTCCTCTTTGCCATTAAATTTTAGTAACTTGGCTGACGGCCTTGAAACTCCCTCTCCAAATGACTGGAAACATGGTTGATCTCTGCCCTGTTCTGCTTCTACTCCCCGAGTCCTTCTAGTAAAAATGGGACTAAAACGAATGTTTATTGTCAGGAAACAGAAATCTCCTACGGAAAGGAAACCATGCTGAGGGTAGTGCAAATAAGATATGGGGGTAAATGGGGAGTATGCTGGAAGTTGACAAATTTGCCTTGATGCTTCCAGGTTTCAGTATTCCAGCACAAGGGTGATAATATTTGCAAGTAAAAAAGAAAAATAACTCCAGCCGCATAAAGTATTTGTAGAGAGGCTAAACTCGATCTTTCTGTTCAGGAATAGATTATAAAATAGCAGGTCTAGTGACTTTTGAAGAATCTTTAAAAATGGAACTGATCCTCCTCCTCCTCCCTTCCCAGCCCAAGCAGTTCCTTTCACAAGTGACTACCCGCCCGGGCTAAGCAGAAGTGAATGTCAAGGCGGGTTGGGTGCAGGGATCCCCCCACCCCAGCAGGTTATCTCCCCCTCTCCCTCTCCAGTGGCCTTTAGGCAAGAAATGAGAACGTTTCCCATCTGGGAGGACGCTTCTGGCAGAGGAGTCAATTAAAGCATGACATCCATGCATGCTCAAAAAGTGGGCATCTGTCTTTTACCTCAACTTTTCCTCCCATTTCTTGCCTGCCTTTTGTGCGAGTTTCTATTATGCTAGTAGCTTTAAGTGCGTTTAGCTTGGAAACTGCCATTTATAATGTTTTCTTATCTTTAAATACCCACTTTGTATTCAAACTCAGATCTTTGCATATACCCTTTTCATGGTGCGCTTAGCACTGTCTGGTGCAGTTTAATTCTGCCGGAGGTTCGGCGTTCGCTACCGAGTCATTTCTCATGTTTTACGGGAGTCAGATGAACGTGGAATTCTGAAAGTGACTCAAAGGTCAAAGTAATTGAAATATGGTTGCTGAATCACTCTGGCCCTCCCATGCTCGAGCATGCAGTTAAGATATGGTTAATAAACCTGTTCTGCTGTCATACTTGTAACAGCTAGTCTCATTTTTTGTTTGCTTTAGTCAAAAAAATTGTACTTAGCTGGCTGGCTTCTAAGCTCCAAGTAATGTCCTTCTGGTACGGGGCTTTCTCAGGTAACCGGTCTGTCACAGCCCTAAGCTTCCTTGCAAATTGCACGATGTAAGCATTATTCTGCTTTTTAGTTTAACTAAATTATTTGATCTTTCCAGTCGTTGTTCACTGTTTAGCAGTGCATGCATCTATTTCATAAATATCGCCCAAAGCAGTTAATAATTAAAAACACACTTTTATCAAATTACCTTTTTACGTGGGATAGGTAGGGTTGCTACTCTTCTAGGAACTATTCCCGTGAAGGAAGGTGTGCAGGGAGAGAGGAGGTAAGTGCTTGATGCAGTGCAGAAGTGGGGCCTTTTTCTAGCCCAATTCTTCTGTTTCTATTCTGGCATGGGACTCTGCCCCCCTCCTTTCAGCACTTCAAGCTCTGTCAGCCCCTGTTCCACAATTGTTTTTGGAGGCTGAAGCCTCTTATCGTACTGAGGGTATTTATCTGACGCTAAATAAGGGTGGCAGTTAATAACAAAATTGATGATGTTTCCCTTCTGAATCCTGCTCGATACTGTTATGTGCATGAAAAAATGAAAATTTTTGCAGGTTTAATAGCTGACAAGTACTCGTGAGCACTACTGAACATACTAAACATATTGTTCAAATGATATAACAGGTAATGACAGTAAGCAAACAACTCTACAGACTCATATGTAGTACCATTACAGTGAAAATATCTTTCTTTTCCAGGATGTCATACCCAGGTTACCCCCCTTCAGGCTATCCTGCTTTCCCTGGTTATCCTGTAAGTACGGTTCTTAAATGTGTTGCATTCCTAATATATTTATATTCTGTGAATACCCGTTCTTGCTATGCTGTGTTTGTGTAAATACTAGCTGTCCGTTCACACAAGGTATTCTCTGTAGATTATGGTCTTTGTTTTCATCCTCAGATCCCTGAGGATGACTTCTTACAATTGAGAAATAAACAGTGGGAAGTAAAAACACCTGAGCACTTCCAAAGTTGCCAAAGGATGTGCTTTGATTCTCTGTCTCGTAAGAAGTCCAAGAAGGAAGTTTAAGATTTTTTTTTTTTTTTAAATGTTGCCTGTTGTTCCAGAAGGGTTATTTGTTTGGCTTTTCTGTTTGTTTGTTTATTGGTCTTGTGCGTTCTTATAGCTAACTATCTCTGTAAATAAATGTTTTTAAGAATTCGCAGTCCTTACATAAATATGAGGGTCTTTTGGTATGGGATCAGAGGTAATCTCTGAATCTCTCTCCGCCAAAGCTTGGAGGAGCCTGGAGTTCCAGTTCGGTTCCTTTTCTAATATCCTGTGCGTCCCTACCCCAGCATTTATAGAGATGCTGAACAAACCAGAGTGGCCATTGCCTTCAGGAAGAACCTGCAGCGCTCAGCAACTTTCCTCAAGTACCCCCAACTTTCATGCAACACCAAGCAAATATTTTGCTGAAGATGCAGGACAATGTCTTGACTTTGATGCGCCCCCCCCAGTCCTTTGGCTGCAGGATTCGGTTCCACCCTCAGCTCATGGCTGATGAGGCTAAACATTGCAATGAAACTTAACGGAAGGAATATATCAGTTTGTGGCTGGTACTGCAGTGTTGTTGATACATCTGCATTTTTTTTCAGTGCTAGATGCAAGTGTGTACTTTTATTAGTATGGCACTGAACATATCGTAACTGTGGGAATTTTACGTGGTTTGTGTTTTACGTAGTGCTGTACTAGACTTAAGCATGGAGCTCAGTTTGGATACCACTCATATAGCTAAAACCAAAAAAAAATGCAATGAATTCTCCAATTATTTTGCTGTACAGTTGCAGATAAAGCTTCTCTCTCTGTTCAGAAGAGTCATGGTTTAGAGAGTGACTAATGAGAGACCGCTTGGTGTTGCAGTGACTAGTCATGTGGCTAGTGGAGAAAAGGCCTGGACAGTGAGCAGGGAGTTTTGGAGAAGCACCTTCTGGGCTACCCAGGAAGGACCTTTACTACATTCTGTGTTATTTTTCTGTTTTTTTTTTTTCTTTTTTTTTAATGTAGCTTCATACCCACCTTAGGGCCTCTGATGCTCATATTTTTTCCCAAATAATGGTTACTAAAAACAGTTGTTTCACAGCATCTTTTCCTATTAGCCCCTCCTGTATCTGACTGACTGAACCTGATTTTAAGTAAGTGGGTTTTAAGATCAAGTATATGGCTTTTAACCTACAGGGCTTTCCCTTAGAGATCCTGACCTTTCAGGTAAAAGTTTTTAATGTGCATTAATGCTAATGTCAACCTTCATGGCATTATTAATAAAGTCTCCCACACAGCAAAATGAAGGTATTTGGATGTCCGACTTGTTAAGTTCTTTTTGTTTAAAACCTGTAATGGCTGTTAAATCTGACTCCGTGGTCCAGATTTAGTCTTTGAACGTCCATGCTTTATAAGCTGGTTTCCAAAGAAAATAAAGACTTCTGCCAGTTTTTACCTTGTAACTTCTGAAAATATCGGCTATGTTCAGCCAAATGCACTTGAGAAGCAGAAACTTCAAAGATATTACGCTCTTAAGAGCCTTATAAAAACAGGAGACAGACTACTAATGATCCACTGAAAGCAAGCCTGAACTGTGAGCTCACGTCTTAGTTAAGAGGCATAAGAGTAGAAGCTTTCCCGTAAGGGATCTTGGTCTTGGTGATTAACAAGTTGAACACGAATCAGTGGTGCGCTCTCATGGGGATGAAGGCTAACAATGCACTAGGCTTTAGCAAGAGCAAAGCCAGCAGGTCAAGGGAAGTGATTACTCCTCTGTGCTCACTGTGTTCAGTTTTGGACCCCAAAACAACAGAGATGTGGGCAAAGTGGAGTGAGTCCAGGGAGGGCCGCTAGCCTGGAGAAGAGAAGGCTAAGGGGAGGTCTGTTCCGTCTTCCACTGCCTAGGAAGGGGGTAACAGGATTGGAGCAAGACCTTTCTCAGAGGTGCAAATTAAAGGGCAGCAGGCAACAATCACAGGTTGCAACAAGGAAAATTGTAATTGGATTTGAGAAAACATTTTTCACATGAGAGTGGTTGAATGCTGGAACCAGAGAGACTGTGGAATCGCTCTCCTTGGAGACTTCAAAACTTGACAAGGCCCTGAGCAACCTCGTCTAACTCTGAAGTTGGCCCTGTTTTGAAGGGGGATGCGATCAAAGGCCTCCAGAGGTGCCTTCCCCCTGCAGCACTCTCTGGTTCTGTACAAGGGTTCTTTCAACAAGGGAGACGCATCAGAAAGCGCAGCCAGGAGGCTTACATCCAGGCTTTGTGAATTCTTCCGCTGTTTCAAATGCTAAGTCTGATCACGTTATTACGTATGTGGGCATTTTGGTGGCTTGAGCGGTTTTTATTCTAATGTCCCATTAACAGAAATACAAACGGCCTGTTTTTGTGTTTCAGCCAACAGGCCAAGAGTCTGTTTATCCACCAGCCGGTCAGTACTCCTATCCCGCTGTTCCCGGAGGATACCCTCCGGCAGGAGGTGGGGCCTATCCTGCAGCACCACCAAGTGCTGGGTATTCAGGGGCAGCAGGATATCCGGCCCCTGGGGGTTACCCTGCCCCTGGGGGCTACCCCGGAGTGCCCCAGACTGGAGGAATGCCATCTTATCCTGGAGGTAACATCCTTTGTGAGACTATTCTTCAGCAGTTACTTCTGTTTTTCTGTACTACTTCTACCAAGCATAGGGAACGGTTAGAACAGATTTGTTTAGTAATCAATTTAGGCAGTAGTATTTAGACCACCAGATGGATTGATATCCATCAGTAAATACTTGTATGTTGATAGCAGGGCCTTGATGCCTTTGGGTTGCAGGCCACTGCATGGGCACAGAGAAAAGAGGTGACAGGTTGCCATTGGTCTCTTGCCTAACTCTGATCAGTAGTAACCTGTCTGACACTGTGTCAGAAATCAACTAGAAAACATAAAGTATGCTAAAACCTTTCTTCTTCTCCTACCTCCTACAGGCCCTGGGTTTGGTGTGCCTCCCGCCGGCCCTGGCTTTGGTGGCTATCCTCAGCCTCCTGCCCAAAGCTATGGTGGAGGTGGACCAGCACAAATTCCAGGTATGTGGGTGTTTCACTGTCGTATGTAAGAAATTTTAAGCATCCAAAGTTCAGCCAAGAGATTCCAAGCCAGGTAATAACAAATTAGGCCCTCACTTCTAGCTGTTGAGCTTCATGTGCTGTACATGTCCTACCGCCTTACTTGACAAGACCAGTGAATGGCATATGAGAACGATCTCTGCACGTATTATATCAAAAAGGGATGTGTGTCACTGATGTGCTTATCCTTCTTCAAACTGCAAGTATCTGATGAGAGTTGCAAAATCCAGAGTGTGCAGTCAGCGAGTGTCTGGCTGTTCTGCACAGCTCAGAGAAATTTATGCATTTTTCAGCAGTCTTTAGTAGATCTGTGCGTTCACGATCCCTGTTATAGTGGGGGAAGTGGAAAGGAAGATGTGCACGTTTGCTTAAAAACAGTGTGGTGCTTTTAATTCTTGGAGTGGTCAGCTGCCATCAAGAACGTTTTTGTCCTGAAATGAATGCATCAGCCATGTTTGCAAGAAATTCAGAGCAGTATTTTATATACAAAACCTTTCTTTTGCCTCACTGACTCTGATAATAACTAAGCTGCTGTTAAAATGATAATCATGTGTATATACTATAGATAAAGAGAAAATTCCACAACAAAAAAAAATATAGCTTTTGGATATACAGTGCTTTTAATTATGAAATCAGATTATTTCCGTTCTTTTTGCACCAATGAATTTTCAGTATAGCCTATATGCTAGACGTTTTAAAGTGAATAGTATGCCTTTAACAGAGAGTATGCAACAGGGATTTGTTCTTTGCTTGGAATATCTTGGCTTATGTCAAGGATACAAACATTTAATGAGGAGAGATCCTACCAGCTACCGCAGCACCAGTAAATTTAGTATTTTTAGTATTGCTTTGCAATTGCTGGTGTATATACCAGAATGTTCTGATCATCCTGAAGGGCAACAACTACAGTTCCTGATCATTACAGGTTTCATTACTCAGGAAACAGGTTTTGTGCATCGGTAGGCCTGTCATTTATTACATCTATAGATGGTTTTATTTTCAGATCAGATAGCATTTATGTAATAATAAGAAACATAATTAATTCCTTTTATCTTGTTCTTAAATTTATTTTCAGTAGGATATCCTGGTGGACAAGCGCCATCGCCAATGCCTGGCCTGGTATGTGTTGTATCCTCTTTTATAATCAAACTTCTGTGGCTTCTGTAGTTTTCTCACCTGGCTGTGTCTGCTGGAAGAGCAATGTATTTACAGCCAGTTGTGTGGAGGAAGGTAGGGACTGAACATGGGCGGGGGATGTGTGATAGAGGATCGTACATCCAACTATTTTTACTGGGGCTTTTCGCTCAAGGCAAAAATGATGAAAGTGGCCGCACAGAAAAGTAATTTCTTGCTACTGTTTTCAATGGGGTTCAGATTTACTCCTCTCTGATTTGCAATTTGGAAACATAATTACATTTAAGCAAGTATATAGTTAAATACAGGCATGTTAGTGTAGCTTTTCCCGTAGAGTTTGGTGGACATGAAAGGGTATAAACTGCTCCTGCATTATCAAATGGATTACAATGTGACCAGCCTCCCTTTTGTGCAGAAAGATCTCTTTGCAGCAGTGAAGTCTGGCACGCTGCAGCTAGGCAAACTAAACAATTTAGTTTGTTCTGCATCAAGAATTCCCAGGCAGTTTTCGATGAAAGTTGCTTTCTTTGAGCTGCATAGCAGTTCTTCTCTCAGACCTACATCCAGAAAGTCCAAATGCTGCACTCAGAGTACAGCCTGAACAAAATGGTACCGTATCTGTGTATATTCTGCAGGTAGGTATTCACGCATAGCACTTGATAAAAGCGCTCTGGCATTGGTAGGCCAAAGATGTTCAGCAAAACTAAATGTCTTGAACTGAAAGTATTGGCTGCAAAGTTTTAATTCAAACTTGTATTGTGCAGAATAGCTAGTTATGCATGATTTTCTTATTCTCAGCCTGCAGCAATGGTTCAGTGTACCCAGGGCACAATTCAAGCTGCTACGAATTTTGATGCTGGAAGGGATGCAGAAATTCTGCGCAAAGCGATGAAAGGGTTTGGTAAGTACATAATAGAAGAGTAAATTTCTACTGAGCTGATTTATTAATGCCATTTTGCCCTTTTCTTCAATTTTTATTTAACCATATATCTTTTCCCCTTGAGCTTTTGAGTCACGTTTTCAAAATGACTCGGGTACTTTAGCAGAGTAAGTTATTAAGATAATTTGGTAAACAGATGTAAATGATAGTCATGCATTTATGTAACTAGACCCAAATGTGCAATTATAAACTGGACAGTCTTGGAGGGTTTATTGAGTTCTTATGTGAAACTGCCCTTCTGTTTCCAAGGAACTGATGAGCAGGCTATCATCGATGTTGTAGCTAACCGCTCCAATGATCAAAGGCAAAAAATCAAGGCAGCTTTCAAGACTATGTATGGCAAGGTATGGTCACTAGTTCTTTGAATCAGTAAACAAAGGCATACTCCACTGCTGCTTTAACTGCCTGATTGCATTTGAGTCTTGGGGAGTGGTTTGGGGGATTTTTTAAATGCAGCTCTTTGGTTATATTCTTTGGGAAACCTGGTATTTGACATTCGATATTGTCCTGGCATCTGATAGGACTGGGAGGGGAAAGGCTCTGTCCCTGACCAAACAAGCTTCTTCGATTTTTAATGCTCAACAGCTAGAAAACAATCAAGCTTAAACTGTTCTTGCATTTATGCCTGAAACTACTCAGAGTTGTTTATGCATGCAAACTAGCACTGAAATCAGTTTCGTCCTATGAAGAAGAGAAAAGGGTTATGGATTGGTAGCGACTGAGCACCTAGGGCTTACGTTGCTGAATTAATTCAGCCACAAACCCTTTCTACCATCAGTCTTGGGGCTCGCTTTAAGGGTGCAGTCAGGTACATACCCATACCCCACCTCCTCCTTTATGATCCATAAGGTACAGTTCCTTTCCAAAGAAAGTGCTATAGGCACTTGCTCTCAAATCATTCTCCCTTCTGTGCTTTCCGCTGCCACAAAATCTTATGCTTTGGTTAGCTCAGTGGTACAGCTTCAAAAGAGGCAACAGAAAGAGGACCTTTCCCTCTTCCACCAGGCTGACTTACTCATTTGTGGTTAAGGTAATTCTGCAAGAGGTAGAAGTAGGCTTTGCCAAATAGCTGTTGCAGAACTCAGGTCTCCTCCTTCCTGGGTGAGTGCTCTGATTGCTATATAGCATGTTACAGATGGTATTGCTAGCCATTTTGCCAGTGTTTTAAAAGAAAGGAGTAACATCTGTGCTTTGTGAGGAATGTTAGTGATTCTCAGATATAACTATGATTCCCTCAGTAAGCATAAGCAGAAAAAGATCTTGAGCTGCTCAGATTGAGTGGTCTTGGGTAAGTTTAAAAGAATATTTCCGGTCATTTCTGAGGTCCTGAAGCGTGAACTTGGGCATCTCAAGAGGCAGCAGATAAACAGGCATTTTGGTGAACTATTGCACTGCGTCTTAGCTAAAAGACTGTTTCGTGATGAAGAAATAAAACAGTTTAGTTCTCCTTTCTTCCCATTGCATACTTTTGGCAGACAAACTGTTTTCTTAAAACTACCGTAAGAAACTCCTCTGCAGCCAACTTTATGGAAGTCCCAGTTATCTGTACCAGATTAGAGAAGCTGCTCCCTGTAAGTCAGTAAAAGGCAACTGAAAGTGCAATCTTATAGTTGTGGCAGAAAGATAGAAATCAGTCACACAGGTAAGCTATAGCTTGACCTTTTTCAGTATATAATCTAAACACATGGCTAACACTCCTAACAGTTAGTTCAGCTTTGCTGTTGAGCACTGGAAGTTCAGATGTTCCTGTGCAAATCAGCACACAGACTTTTTTGAATTTTGGATCTGATGTCACAGTATTTTTCCTTAGCCAAAGTAGTAGAAAATCTGTAAAATCCATTGCTTGGGAATTCTGACACTCTAGCCCGAGTGAGTTGTAAAGACAAGTCACTAGACTTCAGCACGGTCAAACGGTGATCACCTGGACTTTTAACTGAAGACTAAAGCTTGCTGTAAGCCCCGACTTGTGAACAGGGCAACCTCAAGTAATTTCTAATAATTTTGCTGCCCCTGTATTATGTAATATGACTCCCTTCTTGTGTTTATAATTGGACAGGATTTAATTAAAGATCTGAAGTCTGAGTTAAGTGGAAATGTGGAAGAACTGATTCTTGCACTCTTCATGCCTAGCACCTATTATGATGCCTGGAGTTTACGTCATGCAATGAAGGTATGGTTTTACTGTGAACAAAATAGATTAAAACCATCTTAGAATGCTCATCTGAGAAAATGGAGTACTTGATCCTTGCGTCTTAGCTGACAAATCTTGTGGTGGCAAACAAATTTAGGTACTGTGGGGTTTAAAAGTCTTTTCTGATGCATCTTCCAGTTCCAGCCAATTTCTGCAGGACTCGCTATTGGGAGGGGATCCCCTGCTCCAGCAGGGGATCAAAATGCTGCAGCACAAAACTTTGTTCTCTGCCATTCTCTCAGCGACACTTTTCACTAGACCCTAGTACAGGTCGGGGTGCAGTCAAAAGTGAACCCACTGTTTGTACGTACCTCTCCTTGCTAGGAGCAAGCTGCTGGTTTTGAAAGATATTTCTGGAATATCCCAGGGTTCTCAGCAGGATGATAAAAGAATATTGTCTTATGGTCAGATGATGAATGTATTTGTTCAAGTGTTAAGAGTGCATTAGAGACTAGGTAAAATGATCTATACTTTTAACTCAGGTAAACTGGGGCCTCCAATTTCTCTGAATTTCTTGCTTGTTTGAGCTGCAGCAGCTAGCAGATTGCTGGACTATAGTAACAATCCATGTATGAATGCAGATTTTTAAAGAATATGGAACAGAAATGAAGATCTGGATTTAGCAAAGGCAACAAACATTCTTGACTTCTTTTTTTTTTTTTTTAATTTATGTTAGAACACTGCCTAAAAGTCCCATGTAGACCCACCCCTACCTAATCCATGCTTGAATAGCGATGAGCAGGTCAACATGATGTGACTGCACACAGAAATCACAGTTAACTGTGATTAATTCTGGGGACAAGGAAGCATGATTGAAAAGTTTCTGCTGGTGCTCCATGTTGAGGAAGCAGCCAGGTTTTGGATAGGGAACACATCTGTAAACTGAGCAAAGCAGGATTTAAATCCGTATCATTTGCTTCAAAGGCTACCGTAAGGCTTTGTCTGGCTCCAGCACATTCCCAGAATAAGGGTGCCCAAGAATTTATCTCCTTCCCAAATCATTTTCCAGTTAAATTTGGCTGTCACCACCATTGTGGAAGCATAACTTGTGGATATTTTTTAAACTGATGCAGAACTGAATGTTTCAGAAATCGTCATTCCATGTTAAGCATACAGAAGAATTAATGCATTGACACTGGAAGGATGCTATTCTTACAATGTAGATTGTTTTAAAATTAAAAATGAGTGCTTTATTTCACAGTTGAACAAAACTGAGTAGGTAGTGCTCTGCAATATGCCCTCTTTTCCTCTGCCTACAGGGAGCAGGTACACAGGAGACAGTGCTGATTGAGATCCTTTGCACAAGGACAAATCAGGAAATTCGAGAAATAGTGAAGTGCTATAAATCAGAATTTGGAAGGGACCTCGAACAAGACATCAAAGCAGACACTTCAGGACACTTTGAGCGATTACTGATATCCATGTGTCAAGTGAGCTTTAATTATTATTATTATTTTTTGTTTGTTTGTAAGATAAGGGTGAACAATCTGATGCATATATTCATAATTGCTCCATGAGTGAACTGCCTGTGCATGCTTAGCCAGAGTGAGGTTTTTGTCAAAAAAAATTAGCCCTGGACCATTAATTTCTTCCCTAATGACGAGACAGGACACTTCAGTCCCTCCTCAGGGAAGAGAGATTTCCCATCTAGAACTCTCTGATGAATTGAGTGACCTAATCAAAGAACCCTGTAATTACCTCAGGGAATGTATTTTTAAATACTTTGTTGTGCAGATGCAATCAAATGGCACTACAGGCAAAGCTCTCTGTCCTGATGACTTTGTTTAAAAAAAAACAAAAAAACAAAAAAAACAAATTTGGGTGAATCTGATAGGATCAGCTTTATGGTATGCAGAATACCTGTGAGAATCCCCAAGAATAAGCAAAGAGGCACTGCAGGTCTAAACCCACCTCCCAAGTTGTGTGATAGACTCCCCTTTTCAGATCACCAGAATTAGGTGTGTGCTATTACTGCACTCCAGTAAACTATGGAGCCTACTTATCCTGTATAGTTTACTAGGATTATTTTTGTTTTAAAGAATGGTAACAATAGTTATCTGTGTTCAGGAAGAAATATGCAGCAAATGCAACTTCCCGTATTTCTCTAATAAATCTGCCTATTCGCTGTTGGAATTTCTATGACGCCTGTCTATCTGGTTTGCCTCTACCTTTGTGAGAGTTCCACTCTGCACTAGGTATTTGGATTAAAAAGTCAAAATACCCAAGAAAGCAAAGCTTGAGAAGCTCATGCTGCTAATTTTTATTTTGATAAATCCAGTACTTTACAGTAGCTGACAACCGCATCAATTTAAATAATATTAACCACTATAGACACAACAGTATTTGAGAGTATGTATTAAGCCTACTCAGCCAGTATATTTAGCAGTATCCAGCCATGCATCGATCAGCAAAAAGACAAACCTCAAAGTACGTAAAATGTCACATAAGCTCTGCCGACACATTACAACTACAATGAGCGCTTTCTGCAGACGTTCTTACTTGAAATTAGCAAATTCTAAGTATAACAGAAGACCTGAGCTATTTGACGTGTGCATATTCAGTAAGATAATTCATTAGTTCGTTTGGGAAGATTCTTTGCAACTTGAAGCCTGGAAATAAATCAAGACAAAGTTCATATTATTAAGAAAATATGAGAATTAAAAGTACAATTCAGGAAAAAGACTAGGATTCTGAGATGGTATGTAGAGGTGAAACAATCCTAGTCAGTAATATCTAGTTGTTTAAAGCATGCCCTATAGATAAGAGTTTTGAGGCACTTACCTATTTTCTGTTTGTAAGAAATTCTGAACCAAAGAATAGATTTAAAGCAATGTAAAGTATTTCAAACTCATGTTACTCTCTCTACTTCAAGTTGTACTTCAGTTTCTTGAAGCAAACTGCTTGGAAAGTTTTGAAGCAAACCCCAAGCATATAAAGCATAGCCTGCTCTGGATAATTTCATTTGACCTCTGATGTCTTTGCTTTCAGGGTAATCGGGATGAGAATCAAACTGTGGATTATCAAAAAGCTCAGGAAGATGCTCAGCGTCTGTACCAAGCAGGTGAAGGAAAACTTGGGACTGATGAGTCTTGCTTTAATCTGGTTCTGGCAAGCAGAAGTTTTCCTCAGTTGAAAGCAACAGTTGAAGCATACTCCAAGGTAGGAGTTCTTCACTAATTTCAAATGAATTTGGCCAGTGTATTTTGAATTAAAGTTCCATTTGTTATTGCATTTCACTATCCATATATTAATCTAACTTGTTTTTAGATTGCTAATCGGGATTTATTAAGCAGCATTGACCGAGAATTTTCTGGAAATGTGGAACGTGGTTTGAAGGCTATTTGTAAGTGATATGTTCTTCCTTCCCCTTGCCCCTTTGGAATTTAAACATCGCTCCCTTCTTAACGTTATTCTAGAAGAATTCAATTCAGCACTGGCCATATAGCAAATAAAAACACAATCTGAGAATCTGCTAATAGAAAAGTAAATTCGATTACTCAAATTACTCACTTTGCACTTAACTGGAGAAAATAAGCATCCATTTCAAAGAAGTCAGTTTGAAACAAGGAAAAGGTTACACAGAAACTACTTGCCACTTCTCCAGAAAGGCAGTAACTACACAGAAACAAGGGTCACTGTTCAGTATCTGTAGTTTTGAATTCACTTTTCCCTGCTGGCTTATTATAGTAAAACATTTTACACGTAGCATGATTTACTAATAGTGAGAACAAGTGCCCAATACTCTGTAGAAACCGGTCATACCAACACTTAGAAGAATGACAGCATTACTGTAGCCGTAATTGGTAAGAACCTACTGGATTAAGCAAAAACTTTCCAGATTATAGTCTACAAAAGAGTTCTGTTGGAAAAACTCAGCTCTGAAGGTCTTGAAAGAGAGTAAAGGCTTGTCTTTAGGTGTGAAAAATCTAACTGAAACAAGATGTATTTTGCAAGTACTAGAGAATGAGAACTTTTTACAGTTGTACTTCTATTAGTGAAACTCTAGCAATGGAGCATAAATAAAAACCACCTATCTCAGTACCAGTTATCCAAGGAGAAGAACTGTTTAAAATACATATTTGGGAATTAAGGTTTCAGTGAACTTTAAAAAGCACTTACAGAAAAGTCAACTGTTAATGACGATAATTTTTCTTGTAAGGGAATTACCTGTTGGTCAGCTAGAAACCAGACTCAACTCTCTAAAACAGTCCCTATTATCCGTGATAACTGGATCTTTACCAATGCCTACCTCTACCAGTCTAGAGAAAAAATCCTGAATTGATCGTGCCAAGTATCACCATACAGCACACAGTACTGGAACTAATTTGAAAAATTCATCTTATTGCAGTGCAATGTGCTTTAAATCGCCCAGCCTTTTTTGCAGAAAGACTTTATTACTCTATGAAAGGAGCTGGCACAGATGATTCTACGCTTATCAGAATTATTGTCACTCGCAGTGAGGTAAGAAACTTTTTCCTCTCAAGAAGGCAAAGACTTTGGATGTAAATGTCACATGTACGTGAAAGCTGTCTATCCTAGCCCGATTATCCCTTAGTCCCTTTTTCATAGCGGTAGAAAGTATGTATTGCAATGAAGCTTTTATCCTGTTCAAAATTAGATGAACAAGTTGATTTGTTTTAAAGCCAGATTTCATGTAATTAAATTATCTCTGGCTAATAATTTAATTCTCTGTTCGCCTTCCTTCCTAACTGTGGTTGCCTGCCCATGTAGCAGATGAACATCTGAACTTCAAAGGTTCAACTACTAGAATTGGGATACTAACGTCCAAACAAAGTATCAACTGCTGGACCGTTTGCTATGGGAGCTGCTTGTCCCTCCTTAGAGGGAACAACTGGCTTAAGACCTGTAATCAATGGCACATTTGGCCTTTGACACGTATTTTATAGCCAGTGAAGAAGAAAATGTTTGAAGGAGGAGAGGCAGGGTGACTATCTGGGAATTAAAATCACTGTGTTCAAGCTTTATGTTTTTTTTTTTTTTTCCTTTGCACAGATTGACCTTGTGCAAATTAAACAGATGTTCACACAAATGTATCAGAAGACTTTGGCCACAATGATAGCAAGTGACACAAGCGGTGATTACCGGCGTTTGCTGCTGGCAATTGTTGGTCAATAGAAGAATATTTTCTGGGTTTTTTTGTTTTATTTTTTAAAACAAACTGAAGGACATGTAACATGCTTGATGCAGAAACTGACTATCCATGCGTGTAAAAGAGTAATTTTAAACTTGGTATAATCAAATATGCCTTCTTGATGATTCAAAAAAGCTTTTTGCACTTACATTTGCCTTGATTTACAGCACATAATATTCTCTATTGTATAATAAAAGATGTATCTTGTCTATTAGCCCTATGCCTTGGTCCTTTTGACCCAGACAAAACTACCTCCCTGCTGCCGAACTCCTGCATGATTAAACTAATTGTCTCAGAAATATCTCCAGTATTCAACAGATTTCCTGAAATAGCTAAACTTTACTGCTGAGCTAATTGTGGATGACAGAGACGGCTGAGGCTATGATGTAAATAAAGTATTTTACAAAAACCCAGCCAGGTGCTCTAACAAAAACCTTCTTTAATACCTTCTTCTTGTAATGCTGAAGAACGTGAAAGTGCCCCGTTTAAATCACATCACACAGACAGGTTGTCAGAACTGGATTGTATCCCCCTTACCTACTTTCTCATTCAGCAGTTAGTTACTATTATGCTTAAGGAAGCAATAGGAAGGAGAAATCGTCTCAGATCTACTTTGAGCTATCTCCTTGTAAAGGACAGGGTTATACAGCAAATGACTGAATAATTAAAAAAAAAAAAAAACCACCAGGTAAATACTAACATTACTGGAATGTGTTTAAATCCAAAGAGAAGGTGACAGTGACACAGACAATTGAAATGACTATGTATGTGGATTATTTCATAGGATTTAAATTGAAAGAACAGCTTTTGAGTAGTACATTGTTTTATAAAAAGCCAAACTGAATCTGACTTCCAGCCATAAATTTATTGGGTGCTTGAAGTCCAGCAGCTTGCAAGGTGTTTCCTAACATCTCTAAGCAAAGCTTTAACTAAGGGTAATATGATAAGACACCTTCACACAAACAGTAAAATGCCATGTCTGTTAACCCTCAAACAAAAGCAGCTAGGGCTGATAAGAGTTACTTTAATGAGGCAAACCTTTCACAATTACATGACCAAAAAAGTTTTCTGCAAAACAATATCAAATTTACCATACCAAAAAGGCCTAAGTATTTCGTTTATATTAATGTTCTGCAACTGAAATCTGACATTAGACTACAAACGTTTTCTGATGTAAACCTTAGATATACCTTTCATTTTAAGTTTCCTTGGTCAGATTAAAACTAAATAGTCCAAATTGGAACAAAAGATAGTAGTACGTTTTAGTAGACTTAAAAAAAAAAAAAATTCCACTCCTCTGTGTTACTTTGATCAGCACTGAGATGGTGTAAGTAAGTAGTGGATACACATATAGCTCTCAATACTTTTCCAAGCCTGACCAAGATTCTCTCAAGTTTTTGTTACTTGTTTCTTTGATCTTGAGCAAGCTTCTTTGCAAGTTTAAAAAAAAAAAAAAACAACCACCCAAAACTTTAGTATTTAATAATGAAAGCATATTAGTATATCATCTACATCTTTTCATATGTGACTAAAAATATCCCCACTAATTCATCTGTCATTCAAAGCAGAATGCTGAAGTCTGGCTCATGCATCCTACTACTACAAGAAAACGAACAGACAACTCGGGTTCCATTTCCTACTGTTTTGCCATAAAACAGATGCTGAATGGCATTACGGTTTGCTTACATACTAGGAACAGAATTCTCAAATGGGCAATAACAATTGAATGCTTGAAAATGAAATGATAGCAAAAACAAACAAAAACTCTGTATCCTGCCTCTGGGGGGGAAAAAAAATCCTTTTACATGTAACTAACATAATGGTGGGCCAAGATTAAAGCTAAGAACAAAGAAAGCCATTAAAGAGATTATTCCTCTTAAAAATTCTTCAGCCTAGAACTAGAAGGGCCCTGTCTCTAGGAGAAAAACAGCCTCACTCCTGACTGACTGTCATTTTGCTGAAGAGGCCTAGCCCCTTCTTCACAATTGAATCCACAGACTATGGCAATTTGTCCATTTCACAATTTGGCATTTCATAAGCTTTGAAAGGAAAGCTGCTGCTCGACACTAAATTATTTTAGCTGGAGAGGTGGCGTGTTTAAGCGAGTGTAGGCTGAATGAACTAGGCTGGTTTTCCCTGTTTGGCTCACCAGATGGCAGCAAGTTTCTCACCAGCACAAAGCCCTGCTTTAAAAGGAAAGGGAAAAACCCAGCTTGTTACTGGAACACATTCTGTAGGTTTGGGCCAGCTTCTCAGTTTCACTGAAGTGCATTTACACTTCTCTGAATGGCTAGGAAAGCCTCACTCGGATACTGCCTCTCTCTGCCACTGCAGTACAGATAATGTTTTAACGTAGGAGTTCAGGGAAAGATGTAGCATATTCCTTCACAAAGGGGCCAGTGAGCCCAGTGCGAGGCAGAAAAGCCTTCACTGCTCCAACTCAAACCAGGAACCACGGTTTCTCTCATAGCCAAAGGACACAAAAGCTGACAGAGCTCCAAGATCGTGCAGCTCCCCCCCCCCCCCCCCACAAAAACAAAACAGACAATTTTTCTTTCCCTAAAACACTGACAGAATAAAGCAAACAATGCAAGACTACTTACTGTTTTCTGGGAGGGAGGATATAATCTTTTCTCTTTCAACCATGCAAGAATTAGATACAGTTCCAGACTCCACCTTTCAGAAACACAGTAGCAAAAAAATGAATGTTCACTTCTGAAACAGAGAAGCCCCACAGACATAATCCTGTTACCTAAAGGACCACTTGCTGGAAGGGCAACAGGAGAGATGCAGCATGTGAAGACTGAACAGGCTGACAACAACTGCCCAAGAAATTTTCCTAAACTGCACATCTCCCTTCACACCTGGCAAAAACTGCAACAGACAACAGATACTGCAAGAGGATCCTAAAGGAAGCCAGCACCGTTGCAGCAGAGCGCCTACAGACCAACGTATCCGAACCCGTTCTCTCCACAGAGGATGTCTTTCTAGACAAAGATTCTGTATTTTCTCCACATACACAATTCCAGATAGTCAGAATACTAATCAAAACTAAGCGTATCAAATCATGAAAAATACCGTCTTGAGACGGTTGAGACATTTTCCATTAGCACTGCCAAGCAGAAAGGTACCATCAAACTCTTCATCATGTAAATCTTTAGTTGTCCTGAGGTAACAGGTGTTGAATTCTGCTCTAACACAACATCATACAAAGACTGTATGGCTTACTAGTATAAGGGTGCTTCTTAAAAAACAAACAAACAAAAAAAAAACGACCAGCACTTACCCTTGTATAAGTTGGTCTTCTGCACTCAGACTTTGAGAATATTGTTTTCAATTAGAATGCGTCTACAATAAAGTAAAATCAAATATTAAAACAACTCAATTAGCAATAGTGTCACTTTTACAATTTTCATCCTATTTTATCTTCATTTCTTATCCTGTTCATTAGCAGTTCGTATTTATCTTTAGAGAGAATATACCAGAAAGACTAAAGCAAATAATATCCATGCTGACTATCAAAACAGTCACCCCCAACCCCAAAAGCAACCTAAACACCTTTCGCTGGTATCTTGAACGTTCATTTCAAACCAACACACAAAACACAGCTACAGTTAACAGCCCTTCTGTAGAATCAGCTGACGCTGCCCTTCCAGGTTTGTTCAAACCAACAATGGATGTCCAATTTAGCAGACACACAATGCTTACGTGTTTCATTCATGAGAAAGAACTCAAAAGCAAAAAAGAAAAGCAAACTTAATTGAATATCATTTACATTAAACTAATAATTCTCTGCAGGCTACATCTGACTTTTCAGACTACCTTTTTGATAGCTTAAATTTTGAAGAGTATTTCTAACTAATTTTCTAGGTCAGAGTAGACCTAAGTATTCCAAATAAAACCAATACGCAATGATAGGAGCCGCAGCCCATGCACAAAATTTATTGTGTGCTACTGTTTATAAAATACTTGAATATTTCAGAACATGCATAAAATTTCCAACTTAGACAGGGGTATGTACAGATTGTACTTTATGGCAAACCAAAAAGGGAGATGAACTCTAGTGACTTAAGTTTCAAGTTGTGTTCCAGGGGATGAGAAGGACACGTAGCAAATGCCAAAATATATAACAAAGTACAGTGGCAATCAGTACAGTCCATTATTTGTGAACAAATCAGCACAGGGCTTCAATTTTTATTTTAACCAAGCAGTCCTGTAGATACCAAAATACATGCAGTCTCAAGTTTACACTTTCACTAATGCCTTAGCAGTTTAACAGAGCAAGTGCTTACGCGCTGCTTTGCCTAAACAGAAAGTAAGTCCAATACAGTTTCAGTTTCCTTTACAGGTTTAAAAATAATAAAAAGCTTGCAGCTATTCAGGCCAGTGGTTATTAGCTATTTATGCAACTGCAATACTCACAATAAACTAAAGTACCCATAACATCTGCGTAACCTATAGATGTACATCATAGGTCTATATATTAAATATTTGCAAAATGAAAACATGCATACACAAAATACAATGCCAAGCTTTACAGACTTTGATATGAATCAAAATTTACTTAAACATAATGTACAAAGTTCAATTAAAAGTACCTTAAAATTAACATTTCCATATTTTGCTTACTTTTAAAATTAGTATATATAATATTCTTTTTTAAAATTCAAGGTTGGGAGGAGTCTTGAAAAAGCTGGGCAAAAAGTTTCTAAATTAAATATTTTTTTTTTAAATCTGTGTTCAAGTAATAAACATTCCTACATAGAAATCTTCTGATAAGCCGTAACTAAAAAATACAGTGAATACAATATAGAATTAGCAACATCTAAGGAGTAATCCTGAGGTCAGCACTTTACAGAATGACCAACTGAGTTTTTTTTTGGCTTTTTTTTCTATTTAAAATACAGTTTTTGCAGCCTCAGATATTTTAAGACCATTCTAATCTATCGTTTTTAAAGACATTTCATGAAACCAATGTCCATTAATAAATAGTTAGCTCTTAGGGTTGTATTTGAAAGTCTGATAAAAAAAAAACAAAAACAAATAAACTACCGCTACTAAAAAATCCCATTTGTAAACTTAAAAGTGTTGACAACGATAAGCATAAGATGCTAGTCTAGATGTGCTTTAGTGATAACAGCCCAAGTGTTTCCCCAGATCTCAAGATTCAGCAGCCAGTGATGGATTTTCTGTAAATACATGAAGGACGCTCCCAGCAGG